CTTACTCCCCGTTCGTGTTGCCCTTGTCCTACCCACGACTTATAATTATAATGAGATCATTTACCTTTGGTACAGCATGATCACAATTAATCTTGACCATTAGATATAAATTTGGGTAACTGCATTTATTTCATTGACCAAGCTCAAAGTTGAAAAGAAATTTTTTTGAACTTTTTGACATACCCAAGCTATCAGATTAAACATCATATGATAGCTTAAACAGCATATGGTTGTAAGTAACTGTGACCTCCCAATGTTAAATGTAAATGGTCTCATTGTATACAATCTTATATATACTAATAAAACAATATTTAAAAACCATGTTAGAGAAATTTGTTTGCCGCCAATTTTTGGATATACTTTTTCATTCCAATGTACAATACAAAAAAAAAACAAAATTTAAAAACACTATAAAAGTGTTCTTTTAGCTCAATTAACATCAACCATCCATTTTAATGAGATGCTTAGATCTATACCTTAAAAAGCATTTTTCCCTTTTTCAAATTTTTTAGCCAAATGTAATAGCACTAGATAATCAACATAAAAAAAATTATTTTGAATTCATAAAAACCGAGATCTTTATATTCACCAAATAGATTATCTAAATTCATTGCTAGAAGAGAACGCATTTGAACCATATATTGGACGCAAATTAAATTTTATTTTTTTAAGACTAATTATTAAGATGTAGAGAAGGTATGGTAAAATTTTGCATCATACAATTGCCACAACCATAATTTTCTAAAAGAATGGTTTCATTATATTAGAATGACACATGATATCACTCTCCCATACATATAATGTTAAAAAGGTAATTTATCGTTGATGCAGACCACAGATAGCCTTACACAAAATACATTTTGAAAGAGAAAAGGCTTAGTTCGGGATGAGGAAAGGTTTCCTTGGTGAGATGGAGCGCCAGAAATAATGAGCTTACTGGTAGGAGAAAAGTGGATGGTTTGGGAATAAGTCATTAGCCGTACATCTTCCTCAGTCCAACTGAGCGGAATTCTAAGCCTCAACCATGATAATAAAAGGGAACATTCCATTCCATTATTCTATCATCACCATCATCGCTGTAGCATTTTTGCAATTAATTGAAGCTGGCTAAAATAAATAACTGTAGGTTCAGAATTCATAATAAGTTTTGACAAAATTTTATATTAGCTGTCTACCCAAAACAATCCAGCCTTTTTACCCGGGCATGAGACGGGATAAGATAAAATGTAAAGTTCTCATCCTTCTTTGACAAATTCCATTACTCTATATCAATGCAAATTATCTTCCAACTACTGAAACCAATTAGCCTTGCCAGTTCTCGAGAAGCAGGTATCAATGGCCAATCTTTTCTTTCTTTTCGAATGAAATATATCAGGAAATTTTCACTCATGAACAAAGATTGGCGAAAACCAGCAATGTCAAAATGTAATGTACATGAAACAGGGAGAGATGCTTTTCCCTCGTACCCATTTCGTCTAAATTACATTTTACAAGGACTTGCACCAAAACAATCCTCAAGGACATTCTACAATTTATCAGGCTGAAAGGTATAGAGATACTTTCACTCTCATGTAATACCAGGGATCGGTGAAGGGAGAGTACTCATCTGTAAAATCAGAGCCAAGAGGTCCCACTGGATTGGGCCAAGGATGAACCTATGTGGGATTCCTTGGAATAGTTTGATCTTGACTGTAACACAGCACCTAAGATTCATGGCTCTGAAGGGCCTCAATCGCATTCTTCCACTGCCACGCCCTTTGTTTTGCATCTTCAAACGACACCACTTTCTTCGGCTGAAGCATTAATGACAAAAAAATAAATGCATCAGTAATAATGATAAAATAGGTAAAGAGAAAGTATTGCATGTGTGCACTTAAAAGTTTCCTGCAGTTGTTTGACATCACCTAAGCTATCCACTGTTGACATTTGATTATTTGGCTGTGCCAACGTCTGCAAGCATGACTAAATAAGCTAAACCAAAAGATTTCATGCTCCCACTAGAGTATAATGTCCATTTACCCCAAGTAAAATCCAATGTCAGAGTAATTTTAAGACCCAAATATTTGGGGGTGTAAATTTTTCAACCTATGGACTAACCTCAATAAGAAACTTTTCCAAATTGCATTCTCTATGCACTTGAAAAAAATAATGTCTCAAGAATGAATAGAGACTGTCTATTTTGAAGGATGAGATCTAAGTGTCAAAAAACTAAAAATGAAAATTTTTACTTTTGAAAATATTAGTCTAGCAATTCTTGGTTGGTTTGTAAAGGTTTCATATTGAAAATATCCTCCCAAGTAGGTCTTGTGATGGAGGAAGTAGGTATACAGTAATGCTCCTGCAGAAAAGTAGCGTATATGCCCTCGTAAGCTAATTAGTAGGTGTACTGTCAGCATTTAATATATTTAACATACAAACAGTACATTAAATACTTCCAATATCCATATTTCAGGAATGGAGAGTTGAGATGAGCCGTTTTGCACTCATGTCCATCAAAATCTTTTGATGGAATTGGAATGGGGAACAACTCACCTCAACTTTAATTGACATCAGAGGGTCCAGGAGCATTTAACATACTTTTAGTCTTTAACCGCTATCATACTACACTTCTCAATAAGGGAAAGTATTAGACTCCAATGGACTAATGAAAACCATAGCTCGTAGGGCCGTGACACTCCAATGAAATGATGGATTGCGCAGAAAGTGTGTCCACCAGAACAGGACATGATCTCAATGGTTGTTCCCACACTTCACTACCATCAATCATTTAACCGGACTATCATGATGCCATTGGACAGGTTTTCCATACTCCAATGGAATACAATACGTACCACTTTCCCATATGTAAATGGCCCAACAAAGTGTGGAAATAAGTATACACCGTTAAGATTTTGAAATGAGAAGAGTTGGACACTTGGATGCTAAGGTCCTTGGGATTGTCAGACCAAATTATCGTTCCTTTCACCATCAGCTTGGAAGGGTCCACATAGATCAACTTGGGTTTGTCTGTGAGGATGAGCTGCACCTTCTTGCTAGAGAGCTTCTGTACTTTCTTCACCGTTGAGATCATAATCACTGACTCTCCCAGATCCAGAAATTGTTGCCTGTATAACATAGGGTATCATGTAAGAAAGTGCTTGATAGGATTGATGCGGTTTTTTGAACAAGTAAAGTTGAACACAAAAGTCAAATCAGCTTCAAATGGTTATTGCCTCAGTAGTCCACAAATCAGAGAAACTTGGTTTATGAAGATTGATCCTAATCATCCCATATAAATACCATATTTATGAAAAATCAGTGGAGACAAGTTCATCATCATGGAGATCACATAAATTTAGTGAAACTCACAAAAAATCAAACCAATATATATTGCGAGAAAAACACGCAAAATCGATCCTGTAAATAACACATTTATGAAAATCATCAGGGGCACGACTAATGGTTGTAAGATGCCAAGGGCTGCTATCGCTCCATACCATTTAGAATCAAAAGAATCAATTGAGGCAAGCTTAGCAATATGGGAATGAGACTCCACAGATGACGTGGCACCACCAGTGCCATCAAGGGAGGTGCTGTTCTGAACAAAACTGTCACCAACATGTGAAAGTCCCCATTCCAAATCTTCAACATCAGCATCGTCACTCTAAAAACAATCAATCACATTGGTTATCTAATTATAGTTGGACAAACACAGAAAACAGAATAGCAATGTAAAAGTCTACATGGATAACATCTGCATGTACACGCAGTAAAAAAGATACGTTGAACACAAAGGGATTCCTACTTTCAATGGTGTAGCAAGTTTTGGAGCAGGTAATGCACGTGGATTATTCCAGTCCACTCCCTTAAAGAAAGGGTGCCTTTTTAGGGCAGTATAACCACCAGGTCCAGCACCAGGTCTTTTCATGGGATCTATGTCCTGCAAAAAAGAGCATCAATGGATTCCATCAAAAAGTCTACAGTCAGCAAATTCATAATTGACATTCATAATCATTATTGACATGCACAAAAGTCGATTAATTACATTAATAAACGATGTCATATTCTCAAGCCGAAGATAGTTCCAGGAGCATATGCAGCCAAGTCTCAATTCTGCTTTTCTAAATAATTTGTAAATGAACCTTCATTAATGACCAAATTGATATACATGTATAAACAAAAGTTGGATTTTTCTACACAAAATTGAACCATGAAAAAGTAAAAAACTTTGTAACTCTAGTGAATACTCCATCTCTTGCCCGCTCATCCACCTCCTCATTATTGTCAAATGTAAGGTCAAATCAAGATCACTCATGGTGTATAAAATTTTCTCAAAATTTTGGGATAGTCCCCATGGGCGTCCTTTCCTGCTTTCCCATGCTATTAAATTGTTGGTATCACCTTGTATTTGTAGTTTTTTTCTGCTCAGCGTCCAAACACTTTATAACCATGTTAGGAAGGCTCATGACTCAGCCTACTTCAGACAGTAGGCGGTTGATAGACCTGAGGATGATAATAGAATGGAACCGGTGAACATTTATGACCCCCAATTTCTGCTTTCATACCCTTGTTAATGTTGTCAATGGTCAGGATTGTCCTCAAACTCACAGCCATCCAAAAGTCTGTACTCCAATAGGGTCATGCATGATCCATATTCTTTGAACTATAATTTGGTCCCAAGCATCCCAAGTAAGACCTCTTTAGATGGATTTGGCGGTACATACCATTTTAACTTCTTTTTTTTCCCTTTTTTTTTTGGAGAACCAGTAACTTGTGACTACCCCTTTAGCAGCGGGGATCCATATCATGCTGTCTTCTTTCCTTGCTGAATAAAAGAAACCTTGGAGCTCATTCATCACTTTTGTTGGATCTTCAATCCCATCTTTCAAACCTCTTCTCATATTCAGGCCCCACAGTCTCTGCTTTCCCCGAGTTTGGGTTAGGCTGAACAAAGAAGGAAGCCTGTCCTTAATTGGCCCTGCATTTTGTCAGTAACAAAGCCAAAACTTCACTTCCCTCCCATTTGATACCTTTATCTCTTTTTCCTTATAAAGTTTTCCCTCACTTGATTTACCTTCTCCCAAATATTTCTTAATTGCCAATTAAGGTCTGATTGGTCTCCCGTATTTTCCTCTTCCTAACCGACTTTTGTTTTTTGCTGTGCATACTTGCTTCCAGTAAACCATGTCTATCCTCTGTTTTTTCAGATGCTCCATTCCATAGAAAATTCCACATTACCTTCACCCAGTGATTAATTGTGGAAATTAGGATAGAGACAATGAAATCGAGTATACTGAAAAATTAGATGCGGCAGGTTTAGTACAGGTGTCCAGCAAATGGTAAATACCCAACTGTCCAATTGCGCCAAATCCCTCAATAACACCAGCCACCCAGATTTAGGCCGAGTTATCTTCTGCTAACCCATCAAAAGCACATTCCAAGCTCTTGCCAGTTCTCTACTCTTACCATCTTGAACAGTGATTCTGATCATTTTTGTCACTAGAACATCAATTCCAAGGCCTGACAATGCTTACATCAATATCCTAAAATCATTTTTGTCACTTGAACATCAATTCCTAAGCCCCGATGAGTATCCCACATCCACACCTCACAGAGTTCAAGCCTTCAGCTAGATCCTACTCACAGGAGAGGAACCAGCTACCAAACCAATGCGTCATGTGCCTTCACAATGAGGCAACCACTGACCACCATTTTATACACCACGGGGTTGACTCTGTAGTATGGTCCAAGCTCCTCCAAGCTTTTGACTGACAATGGGCCACTCTAGCATCAGTCCCCCAACTCTTCACCACCTTCCTACCTCCACCGCTAGCCAAGATTGGTCAATTCTCTCCATATTGGTGACCTTATGGCAAATTTGAAAATAACAGAACCGCCGAAATTTTCAAGCACAGTTACCATCATCACAAACCCATAAAGATCAAATCAGGGCCAAGATAATCTTTTGGGGCTAGGGGGTATAGACGCCTGATAAACTTGGAAGCCTCTGATTTCCTCAATCGCTGGCAAAATATCATTGTCCCTCAATCCAACCCTCAAATCACATGTGCTGTCTGGGTTCCCCCCCCCCACACACACACCACCACAAAAAATGAAAGAAGGGGCCCAGTTCCCTTGAATCAAACTCCAATGGCTGCCCCCTTCGGGATCCCTGATCCTTCAAGCTTTGGGGGCGTTCTAAAGAATTCTGAAGGATAGCCCCTTCTCTCATTCTCAGGTTTTATAGCCCACACCGACTCCACCATGGCCCAGACAGTTGCCCTTTTAGAAGGCCTCAAACATATCCACCTGGCTTACATTACTAACTCCCAGCTTACAATTGAGGGTAACCCTAGAAATGCCATTGCATGTGCTTCAAGCAGTGTTCAAAGCCCATGGAGATCGGTGTCTCTTTGGCCGTGTATGCCTCTTGTGCAAGGTCTTCCAGGTCAGCTTCAATCACATACCAAGGAAAACCAACCACCTGGCTGACAGCCTGGCAAAGGAAGGGGAGCAAGTGGACCCACATCTCATAGCTCCTCCTCGTACATTAAAGTCACACGCTCCTCATCTCTTTATTTTCCTCTATCCTCTCACCTAGAATCCTCACTCTCATCACTCCGCACTTCTTCCTCTCTATCATCCCTTTTTCGTAAAGGAGCACGACAATTTTATGCTGCCATAAGCCATTGGTCATACATATTTAGGCAGTTGAATAGTAAACCCATTTTGTAAAGATCTCCCGAGCTGTGGGTGGCCTATTTTGTTTTTCATTCTTTTGTATTTAGGTTCATTTAAATAGTAATATGGTCTATTTTTCTTCCAAAAAAATATTGTTACCCCATTGGCCCCTTCTATGACCTTTTGAACTCAAACAACTACTTTGCATTATGAATGCCCTAATGCGGTGCTAAAAGCATCCGCAACAGAAGAAAACAAAAAAGGGGAGAAGTGTCGCCTTGCCTATGATCCCTAAAGCTCTAGAATAAGCCAATGGGAGTCCCATCAAAATATAGGCAGAAGCTTAATTGTTGAAGACAAGAGTGTGTGTGTTTGAGCGGGAACAGGTATAATTGCCAGCTAGAAGTTGCCTAGTTTGGGAGTGTCACAAGGGCGCACCAACACAAAAAATATATAAAACTAGAGAAATTTCAAAAAACAAAAGATTAATTCTACTATTGTATAATGCAATTATAGTGAACTTTTCTCAAAAAAAAAAAACAAGTAATCGATTTTTTTTGAAAAAAAATTAGATGCAAAATTAATATATTAGAAATATCTTTAATTAATAAATTTAGTCAAATGAAAATTAAGAGAAATAACTCATTTATTTACTTGAGCCTTCTCTTATACAAGTCTTCTTATTTTTTAATATGTTAACTCCATTAAGCTAAAGTGAGTACAAAGGGAAAATAAGGAGGGGGACTGGATACCCACACAAGGGTTCCGCCCAAAAAATAGGTTACCCACAGACGCTAGCTCAGATAGGCCAAAAAATGATTTACATCACTGATTTGCAACCATAGAGGGGATCAAAACCATGCTGAGATAGGAATACCAAGCAAAAAATATTCCCTAAGAGTGAATCAGGTAGGCATGAGATAAGGTTGTGGCTGCCTTCGCTAAGGCATCAGCTTCACCATTTGCTTCTCTCCATAAGTGGTTCTTCGAGATTTGTAGAGTCCCATTGAGATAACGAATTTCCTCAAATATGCTGTCGAGTCTCTAAGCATGGGGCTGAGCCTGAAGCCCAGGATATCACACTGAAAGAAGCACCCTCAATGGTTAAAGAATGAATTGAAGTGAGGTCGAATTTTCTGAGTCCTTCCCGGAGAGCTGAAGCTTCCACAACAGTGGAATCTGAGATGCATATAGGGATGGAAAAGGAACAAAGGATATTGTTGTCATGGTCGCAGAACAAGCCACCAATGCCTGCAAGGCCAGGGTTTTCGAGAGAACACTCGTCAAAGTTCAATTTAAATTGGCCTTCTTTTGGTTTTCAATTTAAATTGGACTTCTTTTGGTGGTCTCCAAAGGGAAGAGCGAGGGAGCCTTTGAGGTTTTAAGAAGAGAATGGCCCAACTGTGGAGAAAATCAGAGTGGCAGAGGTTTTTGAAGTGCTTGTGAGGGGTTGCCCAGAAAATGACTGCTTCTTTAATCTTTTCTACTAGAGCTTCCAAGGAAGATTTTTGGCTTCGAAATATTCTGGCCTTTCTCTCATACCAGATTACCCAAAAAGTCGCAGCCACCGATGCTTTCCACAGCAGGGTACCAGCTTCGTGCCACGGGGTTGAGAAATTTGAGCTACCATTGGAATAACTGAAGGAATTCAGCCCATAGTGACGAGGCCATCTTACAGTGGATGAAAAGGTGAGCATTGCTCTCCTCTACTTCGGTATACATAATGCACCTGTTTTGGATTTGGAGTCCCTTTCTTTGTAGTTGGTCCACTGTGAAGGCTCTCTCAGAAGCACATATCCAATTGAAAAATTGAATCTTGGGGGGGACGAGAGGGATCCATGCTTTAGTCACAATAGAGGAGGGAGTGTGGGTGGGCTTGAGATGAGTAAAAGGAGGTCCCCAAGAAGTTTCCCAAGTGGATTGGGGTCTAAATGAGGCTGTCCTGTCCCTGGTGAGGCAGGAAAATTGAGCCTAGAGTGTTGGAAAGGGTTGTAAAGTCATGACATTTAGAGTTAGAAAGGGATCTTCTAAAGATGGGGCTCCACACCCTCCTGTTACCCACCAGCTGAAAGTAAGATTCCACTGTTGCACTAGAGCACAGTCCAGCAAGAACAAGCTGGAATGGAGGTCCTTAAGAGGTGTATCATCTAGCCAAGGATCAATCCAGAAGCGAGTTTGTGGGTAAGAGCGCAAAATAGATTCCCAGATACCAGAAGTATTGCTGTGAGCTCGTCTGGACGGGACCCAAGAGGGGTCAGAGCTCCGGTATTTGGAGTTGATCATTTCCTGCCATAAGTGGTTGCTTAGGGTGGCTGAACGCCACCACCATTTCCCAAGTAAGACAAGATTATTGTCTTTGAGATTGCATTGCCCAGCCCCCCTAGAGATTTAGGTTTGCAAACGTTAGTCCATGGATGAGATGAATTTTCCTATCACCATTACTTAGACCACAAAAAATTCCTCATTAGCTGCTCCAAACGGTGAGCCACCGAGGCTGGCATATAAAGTAACGACATCTGACAAATAGGGATGCTCGAAAGTGTGGCTTTAACCAAGGTAAGATGACCAGCCAAGGATGAAAATCTGCCTTGCCATCCCGCCGACCTTCGGTCGAATTTATTTATGATGTTGCCCCATAGATTAAGTCGCAGGTTGACTAAACAAAGAGGGAGTCCCAAGTAGGAGGAAGGCAAATCATCTGAGAAGCAACCCCAGCTGGATGCGAGAGAACTTACTATGGAGGGATCAAGAGCCACACCGATCATCTTAGATTTAGCCATATTCACCCTAAGGCCCGTTGTCATCTCAAATAATTTGACGTAGAGGTGAAGAGTATCTAGTTGCTCCTAGGCAGCCTTGCAAAACAGCAAGTTGTCGTCGGCATATTGGAGGTGAGAGATCAGCGGCCTGAGTTGCTGATTTTGAAGCCTTGGAGCAAGCGAGCCTGGTATAAACGCGAAATTGATAATCGCGTACAAGAAAGGGCAAAGGGGGTCTCCCTGGCAGAGTTCCCTAGAGGAAGGAAAGAAGCCTTATGGGGAACCATTGATTAAAATAGAGAAGTAAGGGCCTGAAATACAGCCTTTGATCCAAGCTCTCCACCTCATACAAACGATAGTTTCATCAAGGATGGACCAATCAACATGGTCATAGGCTTTCTCCTAGTCGAGTTTGATAATTAAACCGGGCAATTTTGCACGGTGCCTAGAATAGATAGCCTCATTAGCGACAAATGCTCCATCTAGAATTTGTCCATCTTTTACAAAGGCTCCTTGTGTAGGAGAGATCATCGAGCTTAGGACCTCTCGCAGTCTAGAGGCAAGAACTTTGGAGAGAATCTTGTATGAGCTATTGATCGGACTAATGGATCTGAAATCTTTGAGTTCTTTGGTACCTTCGACTTTAGGGATGAGCGCAATGAAGGTTCATTCATAGCACGATGAATAATCCCTTTAGTATGGAATTCATGGAAGAAAGAAAGGATATCCCCTTCAAAAGTATCCCAAAAAGTCTTAAAAATGGCAACCGGGAAACCATCGGGACCCGGGGCCCGGTCTTGGCCAAGATCAGAAATGGCCTTAAGGATCTCTGATTCTTCAAAGGGTCGCTCAAGCAAGGTAGCAGAGATGGGGGGGATGTACTGAAAAGTAAGGTCTGCCAAGAAAGGTCTCGGGCCCTGAGGTGCCACAAATAGTTTCCGGATAAATTTGATAATTGCATGTTCAATATGGGGTGCTTGGTCAAGCACAGTTTTGTACACTCTAATCTGAGTAAATTGTGTTGTCCCTCCTCCTGCAAGTAGCTATTTTGTGGAAAAAACCAGTGTTGAGGTCGCCATGTTTCAACCATTTAACTCTGGATCGCTGTGCCCAAAAGATCTCCTCTTTCTTTAATAGTTGGAATTCGAACTCGGCATGGGATCGACATGATCTCTCATGATCCGCTAGAGGGTGTGGAAATCTCCATATTTTAAGACTAGGAAACTCCAGATTACTGGATTTTACTTCCCCAAAGTCTCTCTAATGCTCAGGTGTTGGCTTCTTCCCATTTCACCTCTCATCCACCATTTCATTTTTCTTCATGAGTAGAAGGCCCTAATTGGGCTTTCTTCCCCGCTTAATGCCATCATCCCCCTCCCCCCCCCCCTGCTATTTCTTCTTCTTTTTTTAACTGTCCCTTTCTACTTAGGTGAAGCTTAACAGAGGCCACTCTTCAATTATGCCCTTTGGCTCCACCATAATTATCATTTCTCTCTCCCTTATGGACTCCTCTTAACTTTGTCTTTAAAGGCCATTGCCGCAACCTCTCACATGGTAGCTGCATTTCATTTGAGAAACAATTTTTCTACGCTGTGTTTCTATCATCTTGTTCTGAGCCTTGCTCTCAACCGCGACCCATCCAGTTTTCCCATCTTCCAGTACAACAGCCCTCGGACTAATGAAGTCAGGACACACCACACAAAAGAATACCCTTGAGCAATTTCTGTTCTTTGCTCTCAACTGCGACCCATCCAGTTTCCCATCTTCCAGTACAACAGCCCTCGGACAAATGAAGTCAGGACACACCATACAAAAGAATACCCTTGAGCAATTCTGTTCTTCAAACTCGAATGCATATACGTTCCATACTTCAGTTATTTTGAAGTACACACTTATTCAGATATTTCTTAAACTTCCAATAAGTGTTCTGTTTTTCTCAATTATCAGATATTCGTATTATCAATTTATTAAAGAATCAGTAAAACCATTATACAGCAAGAAATGACTAGCTTGGGGGTTGGGTGAGTCAAACATAGTCCCAAGATCATGAACTACTCATGCAACAAAATTTGTTTCCCCTCTTTCTTCCTTGAAACAAACTGTCCCTATACACGTGCATGAAATAATTAACAGACATCGAAGGAAGACATCTGAACATGGAATGCACTCTGGACAGAAAGAGCAGCCACAGGGCAAAGAAAACACAAAAAGAATAACCACAAGTTATATGGCAATAATCAAACTCTCAGAGAGTAACGACAGTCATATGCAAAGATGACCAGCCAGAAGAACCATCAATTACTTTGTTGGGAAAGCAGAGATTCAGATTCAAGACCATATCAAATTAGCAAGATGTTATTTGCACCCTAACCAGTAAACTAAACTGCAGACCTGTAAATCCTTAAGCAGTTCCCATTTTATGTTATAAACACAATGGTGACATCTATATGCAAGATGTATAAGAGTATTAAACATTAAACTGAATTATGATTTGGATGAAGATCTGAGCTTTTGCGCGTAGAACTTTTTGGCCGTAATAGCAAAAATATGCTAATGCAAGGACCTCAAAACAGAAAAGGCTCAATTAATAAGGAAACCAAGTCAAGACACTCCTCTTACAAGTAACTTATCAATAATGTCCCTTGCTTCAGCAGAGAAATAGTCTGGAAATTGGAAGTCCCTCGATATTATCCTTTGGAAAATAAGCCACTCACTTCCATCTTGAAAAGGAGAATTTCCTGAAAGCATTTGGTACAAGGTGCATCCAAGCGCCCAAAGATCATTCCTGTTCCAAAATATGAACACCTGAAATGTGATGGGAACTAAAACAAGATATCCTAACATTCACCAGAAAGCAAAATAAGACATTTTTCCCCTACCCAATAGTTGCAGGAGCAGAGTTGAGGACCTCAGGAGGGACATATGCAGCTGTTCCCACAAAGGTACAAGCCTTCTCATCTGCATACATTCAGAGAACATATTGTTTAAAATGACCATTACATTGAACTCAGGAATTCCATTAAAATATAATTGTACACTATGAACATAGAAAAGTTGTCGTCATAGGTGTCATCAATGTCCAGTCAAATAAAGTAGAGTGACAGAGCAAGAGTAGGACCAATCACTTGGGTCAATCATTGTTCTGGGAACTCCCATTTTCATTCCATCACTGCCCATCCTTTGATTGGGTTGTGTTGACACTTACTTCGGTTCTTCCTCTATGTCATTTTGATTATGGAATACTTTCCCAAAATACCAAATTCATCACACAAACTGATTCATATAGAAGTATCAAAAGTCTTACTAGATGTTGGAAGGACATTAATCTGGCTATCCTTCATTGGCTTCACGCTACCAAAATCAGCAATTTTAATATGGCCTTCAGCAGTAAGAAGCAAGTTCTCTGGCTACTACCAAAATCAGCAACTTCAATATGGCCTTCACTATAAATTCTAAATGACTAATGTAAGGTTTACAAATAACATAAATTACCTTAATATCCCGATGAATTAATCCAACACCGTGTAAGTATTCTAAAGCATCCACAACTTCCGCTGCATAAAAGCGTGTCTCATCTTCTGTTAGACGACGTTTCTGTACAACATTGAGTATTTTAGGGTGTGTCAGTATGGAACACGAACTTAATGAGTGTTCGTGCTTAAGGAAGGTATTATTCTTTTCTTTTCTTTTTCCTGCAAAACTCACCCTTGTTATTTGATCAAATAGTTCACCACCATCACATGATTCAAGTGCCATGTCTTGATTGCACAAATTAATGGAAACATGTTAGACAATGAATAAAAGTAGGCCAATAACATCAGGACTACAATATACTAAACAGAAATTATATATGCAAATGATACAGGTATTCATAAGAGATTGTGTGCTAAATAAAATGTAAAAGAGGAAAAGACGGTCAGCAGATAGGCATACACAAGGAATAGGTGTCTTGAAAAGTGAAATAGAGTCTTATGATTCCAGGATGGTCCAACTGATCCAGAACAATGCGCTCCATCTTGACATATGCAATTTTGTTTTCTTTAGTGATGAACTTTTTGTCCATTATCTTCAAAGCATAAATCTGTCGAGTGTCCTTCTTCTTTGCCTTAACAACCTGTTTTAGAAAGAATTTGTGTAAAAATTACATTAAGATGAAAATGCTAATAAAAAAAACGGGAATTTCACCAGAAGAACACAAGTTCATTGGGATGACAAATAACAGCAAGCTTAGATGTATCATAAAAAAATCATCTCATATGTTCCACACCTATAATGTATCTAGTCCCAAACAATAGAATTGTCTAATGCTTCTGATACTTAAATTCAGACCTATGACAGGGAAGTCGTCAGAGCTCTAACAGGTAAGTCATAATTAATAATTTTCATTCAACATCAAAAGAAAGGTAGCAACAGAGCCTTCTACGCATAGTGTCCCTTCCCTTCAATGTAGTCTTAATGCTAGCCCAAAATAATTCAAATTCCAAATGTCATAAAGGAAAAACAATGGGACTGCTTCACAAGCAAATATCACAAAAACTACTCAGAGATCAAACAGATATACCAAAATGATTCACTTGGAGCATCCTTATCAAACACCATTTTCTGCATAGCACATGAAATTAATCCTTGGGAAACTTTTACACAATTCCATAGTTCCTAATTCTTAAAAGGTTTCCTTACAAAGAAGAAAAGAGAAGACTATAATGAAGGCAGAAAATTAGACCTCCAATTTTCAAAGACCATTAAATGATTGATATCCAAATAAAAAGCATTCAAAAACCTTTTTTATCCATAAAAATATTTTTTTAAAATAATCAATCAAAACAATCCTTGTGAGAAGTACATAGTTCTCAAAAAAGCATAACAAATCAACTATGCTAGATAGGATGAACAACTATGAGTCTATTGAAGAACAACATTCATGATTAAGAGAACGCCGAAATATAATTGTAAAGACAAATATCTGAAAATAGTAAGCAACCCATAGCTAATGTAAATATAGAACCGCAAACACCCAGAGCATTGTCTATTTCAGTTCCCGTAAAGAACCTCCACGCAACCCAATCAAATGTCCAGTTTAATCAGCATATCCAAGCATTTCAAGTTCCACATAGGAAGCAGAAGATCCTGCATGTGGGATAGGAGAAATATGGTCACTAATCTTGCATCATTATGACCAAATCATGTAGCAGACATGGATGAGTTCCTTGTTTAATAAAAAACAACCTCTCTATAGTATACACATTTAGGAGCTCCATAAACTTACAGAGAACCAGAAAAATTGACCAAGACTGCTAAGAAGAGTTTCCCAAAGATGCCCCTTCAACATAGAAGTTCATTCAGGTTGATAAAGGGGCCCAGCATATCTTTTTATGATAATCATAGTTCAAAAAAGCGGACCGCCCAGCACCTAGACGGTCCAGAAGGCCTGGGCACATCGCCCAGGCCTAGGCGGCCAAATTGGGCAGTGGTCCCTGAGCGACCGCCTAGGCGGTACAGAATCCGCTTAGGCGGCCGCCTAGCGCCTGCACCCTGCCCAAAGGAGGAAAAACTTCTTCTTCTTTTTTTTCATTTTTTTCAAAGATATAAAAGTTAAGAATGATAGCTTTTAGGTTCATTTGAACCCTAAACACACCAGAACCCCTTTTAGAGTAATAGAAACCTTCAAAAAACTACATTTCATTGGATCGAATCATCGAAATGTTTCTCAAAGTTTGGAGTTCAAGCAACCAAAGTAAGTGCATTTTTTCGATTGCTTGTTTTATTTTGAGATGTCTTCTTCAGAAGTTAGTCGGAGTGGAGATCTGGGTTGAAAATATGGATGCAACCCGAATCCAAATGACAAATATTGCGTTCGATGCAATTTTTGTGAAAAAGATACAAAAGAAGGCATAAACCGGTTTAAGAAACATCTTGCCGCTATTAAAGGGGATGTTGCCCCTTGTAAAAATATTCCTGAAGCTATCAAGGAGGAGATTAAGCAATTTTTAAGTTATGGAAAACAAAAACAAGAACAAAATCTTTGTCATAGATATATTTCTGCTACTCCTAGAAAAAGTGATCCGGGTTGGAAGTATGGGTACAACCCAAAACCAAATGATAAAAAGTGTATAAGGTGTCATTTTTGTGAAAAAGATACCAATAGGGGTATTAGCCGATTCAAAAAACACCTTGCTGGTGTTAGAGGCAATGTTGCTTCTTGTACAAAGGTTCCTGAAGCAGTTCGAGATGAGATTAGACAACTTCTGAAGTTTGAAGAATCAAAAAAGGATGGAAATAGGCCCTGTTCTATGGAAGTATCTTCTCTAGTTTCTAGTCAGAGTGGAGATCCGGGGTGGAAGTATGGTTATAACCCGAATCCAAGTGATAAAAATCGTATTAAATGTAATTATTGTGGAAATGATACTAATGGGGGCATTTACCGGTTTAGAAAACACCTTGCCGGTATTACGGAGGATGTTGCCCCATGTAAAAAAGTTCATGAGGCTACCAAGGAGGAAATTGTACAATATTTGAGTTCAAAGGCACAAAAAAAGGGGTAGAGCAACCAAGACTCCTAGGGCCTCATCTGCTTAGACTGCACATACTAGTAAGAGGAAGGTAGAAGAAGAGGAGGAGGCAGAGGCAGATTCAGAAGAAACAAAAGAGGATGAGCGTTATATTAAAAAGGGAGATGACTCTGATGATGATGGCCTTGACTCTGATGCATATGATGAGGCTTGCACTATTAATATTCCTTCTGATGATGATGATGGTGATGATGATGATGACTGAAGACTCTTGCCTCTTGGTGCTGACTGCTGAGTGTTGAGTGTTGAGTCTGTTGACTGTTGTGTTGAGTCATGAGTGTTGACTTTTGTTAGACCGTATATTTTTTAAATTTCTGTTTATTTCTGTTGTGTTGAGTGTTGACTTTTATATCCTACACTTGTATGGTTTTACAGTTTACTGTTTTAACAATATGGATTATCAAAATTCTCTTATCGACTTCTATCTTTTTTTTCTTTTTTTTTCAACTTGAAATATGGTATATTGGGATTTTTACTTTTTTTTCAACTGGGCAGCCGCTTAGGCGCTAAGCGGCCTGGGGGGACCTGCCTAGCGCTTTTTGATACACTAATGATAATGATACCTTTGATGGACAATGAAATATGCACCGTTATGTGGACCTTCTCCTCCAAATTTCAATACTTATTGACTTACAAGGAGGGATGAGAACAATAACCTCCTTGTGTCTGCATGAAAATTCTACTAAAGCATTACTAAAGCATCAATTCACCACAGTTGAATTGCCTTCATGATGTTTCAAAGTATGAACATGACTAAATTCCTGTAAAGAAATGAAGTGGATAGCGGCATGCAACTGATGAAACATCCACGTCTAACAGAAACTTCTCATCTAGTCCCCGTAAAGAGATTAGTTTCCAATTTTCCATCCAAGTACGGTTTGAATGCAAGTGTTGAACCATCAACCGCAAACAAACATTCCTCACATAAATATCCAGCTATATCTCAATTGCCTATTAAAAGACACAAAAACAGTTTGAAGTAGGCCCTTCCCTACCAATTTCCAAGCACATCTATCATCATTTTTAGGCCAAAAAAGGTCTGTCTCGCACTAATACAAGCCAATAGAGATAAATTCAACATAACTTGCCATAAAAGCACTAAAGTTTTTAGGGTACTGTATAGTTGCCAAATCCTTTAGGCTCAGACATGAATAACAACAACAATGACTTTATTTCAACTCGTCCGTTAGAAACATTACAAATTGTTAATGGAAAAATTGCAGAATTACCACACGGTCCTAAGTTTTCAAAATTTCACATCCAAGTCCTACATTTTCATAGTCTTTTTTATTCCACTTTTTCCCCAGTTTGATGTTGCAAACATAAAAATCTTTTTCTTTTCTTTTTTTTTTGAATCCTCAAGCAGTTCAATGCCTTGGATATCAAAATGCCTCATTTTTGGGGTCCGATATTGGAAGCGTCGGAATGACCCATACTTAGATGTATTTCTTTTTTACATATGGACTAGTCCGATGTCTTCAACATTAAATCATATTTTTAAAAAAATGAAGCTGGTCCAATATCTCCAACATTGGACAACTCCTTATCTCCTTTTTTAATATGCCGAACACATCACTTTGTATGTGTATCGCCATATGGTCAACCCCCATATCATGGCATAGTTTGTTTTGTTTTTTTTTTGGAGAAATGTCATGGCATACAGTTTGTTACTTTCTTATTACCCACCATTGCATTTAAAGAAAAGGGAATAATAGGCTATTCGATGTTGGAGATAATGGACCGCCCCATTTTTTTACTTCAAATCCCTTCAATATTGGAGACATAAAACCAGTCCATACATAAAATCTAAGTATTGAGCAGTCCGATATTTCCTGAATAGTCTGACGTTCCCAATAGCGAATCACCTATAGATGAGGCAGTCCGATATCTTGGGCATTGAACTGCCATAATATTCACAAAAATAAAAGACAAAAATGTAAGCAATTCGAAATTGAACTGGAGGCAAGCTTGGAATTAAAAAACATGAAAATATAGTACCTGGGGGTAAAATCATGATAATTTAGGACAATGTGGTAATTCCACAAATTATTTTCCAGCCTGTAAATAACTTGTCCATCATTATTTAGAGAAAAGGCATTAAAAAGTTGGAGAGCATTAACATGACATTTATTACAAATTATTATCACATCGACATTTGAAACACACACCCATATTAAAGAATCATCCGCCAGAATAATAGGCACATGGTTTTCTCTTCTTTTTTTCTTTCTTTTGTTTGAAAAATAAATAGGCACCAGGTATATGCTTTTAAATTCTTAATTATTAGTAGTGATAAAATCCATTGTTCGAGGATATGCCACCGTAAAGTTTGGCTGGGTAACCCTTTATCAAGTGGATTGAACAATAAGTGCAACAAAAGCACCCATATAAGTGGGTAGTGAAACACAAAAGATTGGGTTCGAAATTTAAATCTCCACCAATGCCCATAAAAGTTTAATCCAAATAAAATTCATCTTTTATACTCAGAGATTTGGGAGGATTAGAACACCTCCAAAGGCTTCGCCCCACTGCTGGGGGATGAAAAAAAATGCCCTCCAACTGTGATATTTTTTATCCCACAGGTGGAGAAAGCTGTAGTGGAGCCTAGGCCAATGCAGCTGGGCAGGCTTCTAAGCCATCCTACTAAAGGTGAACCCATCCCAGGCAGATTTTGATTGCCTCATTTTGAAGCAGCAGGATGGTATTCTAGGCGGCTGCTTTTTACTTAAATAGGATGAATATAGATATGTACTAGTTTTCCAACCATTTAATTGACCAGATCTTCATATCTTCTCTATTGTACATAGATCCAACAAATTTTCAACCAGGGACAACTTTAGAGGTAATTGTGCTTAGGAAAGAACAGTAAAAGGATGGGTGACCTCCGGGGAAGCCCCTATGCATCCTTTGTGTATGCAAATCAAGGAAAGGAACACCCTCTTGATCCAACCACCTAATCCATTAAAAAACTAACAATTCCAAAGACTGAACTCTAGGAAAACATTTATTTTTCTTGCTTATTCAATAATATGTAACATGATTACAAAATTTCAACCACAATTAATAAATAACCAGATCTCTTGATATATAAATGGCTGCTCCTAATGAACCATGTGATGAATTAAGGCATTTCCAGACAGAAAAACCATCATGAAGCATCAAATCAGGACCAACACCTTATGATCAAAATTTAATCAAGAAAGCTAACAATATTGGGAGGAAAAGTGGAACATTCATTTTACAATACGAATTTAATTTTTAGCATTTGTGTTCCAAATGTTATCCCATGTTTTATTTACAAAGAACTCTTTTTCGTTGTAGTTTCATTTTATTCTTATATGTTTCTACGATGGCAAGCTGATTTTCATTTTCCCATTGAAGTTGTTACTATTGGCTTGGAACATCTAATGCTGAACAAATTTAGGGGTAGGGCTCCAAATTTACAAAGAATAGCCATTGATATTCTTAGCCAGACTAGCAATGCAAGTGGCACAAACTCAATTAGAGTGCAACTGAATTCAGACATAGAAAGAAAAGGAATAGATTGGAGCATACGAAGCTCAATGACCTAGTATGCTTTTGCAAAACTCAAGGCTGGGCTACACATAAGTGAAAAAGATATCATTCTAAAATTCAATATCTTGATACGTAACATGAATCATTTGCGATTCGTCTCGAGTACGAACACTAGCTGCATGAAATGCTTTGTGCCACTACACAAAAATTTCCTTTTGTGGGACATGGGTGAACCTAGAGTACAAAAGCCAGTTGATTCAGACTCAATTGATTTGGGAATGGATTGTGCTGTTGTGAAGGACCATGTATTCTGAATGGAAATTAGGAACTTAAAGTTGAAGTGGAGAGAGCCACTGTCTGGGGATCCAACAAGGGCCCTAGGCGCAGCCAAGGCAAGATGGTAATACTGGCTAAGTGTTATCTTTCATTTCCAACGAATTTTGAACTCTATAAAGCAAGGTAAGGATATGAAATACTAAACACTAGTCATTTTTTCTTATGGAAAACAAAGTAATGAGTGATCTTTTTCTAATGGTTAAACGAAGAAGATTTTGATCACTCTAGTTAGTATGAGTTTGAGTCCATTAACATGAAGTATTAAATTTTAGGTCTTTTAAAATTTCGTCAAAGACTAGTAAGAAGGAACTGATATGCAGATTCCCAATCGAAACACTTAAGAAGCTCAATAAAGTGAAGCTGCATTGAATTTGGCCAGTTACGCGAGGTAAAGCATCCTGAGGCGCTCCCCTCCTCGGTATGGTTAGAGGTTACGAGGTTAGGCTTTAGTTTAGCTTAGCTTCACTTGATAAAGGAGCCCCGATATTTAAATATGTGAAGACCAACTAACCTGATGGGTACTTCTGATAAATATCGTCTCAATTCATTCCATAATTCCAACTGTATGTTAAACAATCATATCCGATACCCAGCTCAATATCCCCAAGTCATGAGGAAGTTGATGCCAAGCTTCAAAACCCACAACTAGACTAGTAGATCAAAGATATACAACTTTTGGGGAGAACCAGTTGTGTATCAAAAATTGATACAAAGAAAAAGCAAGCACAATATTTCAGAAGCTGTTACTATTTGCTGGGTACATCTGATGGCTGAACATACTTAGGGTTTTCCACTTTTGTCTGAACATATTTAGGGTTTTCCACGTTTGTGATCAAACCAAAGCGCAATTCCCCAAAATCCCAAAATTATACAACAATACAGTGCAATGCAAAAAAAAAAAAATCAAACAAGCAAAAAAACCATGGAGAAAAGGAAATTTTAGAAGAGAAAACAGCCCTAAGAAAAGCATAAAATAAGAAAACCCCCCCCCCCCCCCCCCCCAACCTCGCAATAAAAAAAAACAGAGAAAAAAATGAAAATAGGAATGTTGAAGAAGAAAACCTAAATTTGAACAAGACCGAGGCTTCAAACCTAAACGATGAAAATTAAAACCAGAAACAAAGCAGAGGGAATAAGGGATAATTACCTTAGAATAAGATCCGACGCCATACAACTTGCCAAGCTCGAATTCATCGATTCTGAAATGCTCCTGAGGAGCTCTGAAAGTAAAACTCCTAGACCTTTGAACGCCATTATTGCTATTACCAACACTGTTACAAGAAGAGGAGGAGGCATCTCTCCGATGTTGCAGAGTGAGCTTGGATTGAAAGTCCTTCTCCATGGTGTCTTCTTCGTCTTCTTCTTATGCCGCAGCAGGCGATCAACATCATCCCTCCCCCTAAACCCTACTTTCATTCATTCATTTCAACTGAGATTCGACTGCGGACTTTGGTCAAAGAACAGGAACAGGAAAAGGCGAGCCCTGAAAAAGCCGGAATAAAAAAGAACAAAAAAGGAAAGAGAGCAGAGAAGAGGCAGATATACAGCTGAAGGGAGAGAGAAAGAAAGCGGTCCTCGTTTGTTTTGTGCGAGAGTAGAGAGAGAAAGAGGAGTTGCAGAAGAGAGATGGAGAGAGAGAGATATAGGGATGGAGAGCACATGGGCGTGCAATCATGGCGGGGGGGATCGCAAGGAGCCTTGACCCGGCCAAAAAGCGCGCGCCCGCACTCCTATCATTGGAACACTGCCACCCTATGAGTGAGCCACTTCTCTCTCGATTCTTTCCTCTCTACTTCTCTCCCTATTAAGGGTGAACATGGACCCGGACCCGACTCGTACCCGAATAGTGTACCCAACACAAGGGTTTAGGTCCAATATTTGGATAGGGGCCGGGCTTAAAATCTGGATCCAAATAGTATTTGGGTTGAAATTTGGGTCCGGGCTTAAAATCTGGATCCAAATAGTATTTGGGTTGAAATTTGGGTCCATATGGACCTTACCATGCTCGTAAACCATTGGAGATAAAATACTTGAAGCCCTATTCGTTTGGTTGTATTAAAAATTGTATACAATAAGAATTTGTAGTCATTTTTAACTATTAAACCACATACTTCAAGCCCCATTCGTTTAGGTGTATTAAAGATTGTATACAATAAGAATTTACAGTCATCTTTAACTGTTAAACCACAATTCAGATTGCTTGAAATCTAACGGTGGATGCCGTAAGCTTGTTACCTGAGTATATGATGTAAAAAAGGTACAAATAAAAAAAGAAACTCTTAGTGAGGGTAGCAATAGACCCGACCAGACATGAGACCCGACGAGATAGACCTGGGACCCAATAGATATGGATATAGATTCAACTTTTGTACCTGACGGTTCGGATCCGAGTCCAAATCCTTGATGAAGCCAGATATAACTGGACTCAACCCGTTGCCATCCCTATTAGTCTCTACTTTCTCTTTTTACTTCTTCTCTACCCAGTAACTCTCTTGTATGCTCTCTCTAAGGGATTGCCTCTAACAATATCTTTCTTTGCAATGTTTTCCATATGTAACACACCATTGTTTTTCCGTAACACATTAAATTTCTCTCTCACTTTTTTCAATGCTCAATTTTTTTCCTGGTCTTCAATCCACAAAATTATTATTTTTCCAATATATACATTTTAAAAAATATATATTGATTATTAGATTTAAAATTAAATGGTTAAGGACGTGTTACTGTTTAGACATAATGTCCCAAACAAAATTTCTTGAATATTATGAGATACTTTCATCTATTAGATTTTACATCTAATGGCTATAAGTGATTATGACATCCTTGTACTAAAAACAAATGGTATTATATTATACAATCAAAGTATAAAGCTAATGCCCTAAATAATTAAAGTAAGACACACCTTCAAATAGTGTCAAAAGTTGTAATTTTAATGTCGAAAATCTTTATAATAGCCTGAAAATTTATTTTTATCTCTAATTATAAAAGTTAAAGCTTCAAAAATAAGTGTAGATCAAGTGAAAATTTATTTTTATCTCTATGAACAGTTTGAGAATCTTGAAAATTGACGATCTAAATAATGCATTATTATCGAGACTTAAATTCCTCTGTTTTAATGTCCATGTATCTAAGGTGGAGATGATTGGATTTGAGAGTTTTTCAAAAAAGCTTTTTATGGTTGATTTTTGAGGTGCATCTTTGTTCGATTGTTTAGGGCCTCAACCTTCTATAAACTTTTTTTCTTTAAATATTCCTTTCTCCAATAAATTAAATGTCCAACTACGTAACAGCAGGTCTCTTATTCATTTTCTCAAGCAAAATTTTATATAAGCTTGCAGTCTTAAAATGTAGAATTAAGGTAAAAATCTATTGGCAAAAGGTTGTTTTAATGTTGAAAAAACCTCTAATTGATCATCTTAATGTCGAGATGTATGAATATATCCAAAACAAGACAATACCAAAATACATTTTAAAAATAATATATTATTTAGCTTTAGATTAATATAAGAACAAACTAACATTTAATCTTGAAAAGAAAATTTATTTTGAAGCCCATTAGAAGAATGGATCCACACCAGGAAATCTCACTGTGGTTGTAAGCGTTACAAAAGCTTCGATCTCCTTCCAAATTCTAATAAGAGGACCAGAAGTAAGAGAAGGGAACAACCACGTATGAGGGGACCCGTGCAAATAATCTGCTACCTTAGGAAAATAGTATATCTTGTAATGTTTAGGAAATAGTATATCTTTTAATGCATTATATGGTCCGTCAATTTTTAATATTTTCAAGTATTTATAGATCTACTCGATCAACATTATTTTTTGAAGCTTTAAATTTTATAATTGGATATGAAAATATATTTTTAGACCATCACAAAGATTTTGCTTTTTAAAAAATCATCTTTTGATACTATTTAGAAGTACGCATGACTTCGATTGTTTAGGGCCTCAACCTTATAGAAACCACAACCTTCTTTTAATGTCAATATGTGTCGACTTTATTCGTTTTTTTAAGATGCATTGAGGTTGAATAATATCAAAATACAAAACTCAAAATCTACTTACAAGTAGATCATGACCATTTGCACCTAGTTTAGCTAAATTATCTTTTTCAACATTATTTTCTATAGGGTGGAGCTTATATAAGGAGCTCACTTTAAACAATCAAAATAAGGAAAACTTCGAAATCATGTTGGAAGATGTTGTTCCAATGTTGGAAATTCTTACAACGTCCTAAAAATATGTTTCTAATTGAAATTTAAAGCTTCAAAACTAGCACGAATCAAGCAAATCTATGAATATTTGAAATCTTGAAATTGATGGTTTAAATAATGTGTTACAATATGTATTTTTTCTATACTTAAAGTCTTTTCCATTTTCGTATTCATATATCTCAAGATCGAACAATTAATGGAGAAACGAGTGAGTTTTCAGTGACAATAGGTCTACATCAAAAGTCAGCATTGAGCTCATACCTCATTGTCTTAGTTAAGGTCGATTTAACTAGGCACCTACATAACGAGGTATCATGGTGTATGTCGTTCACAGATAACATAGTTTTGATCAATGAGACCCGAAAAGAAGTCAACACGAAGTTAGAACTTTGGAGGGATGCTCTAGAATCTAAAAGTTTTAAAATTAGCCAGATAAATAATAGTATATAAAATGCAAGTTTAGTAATAATATATGCAGAGACGAGGAAGTAGTTAAAATTGACAGCCAGAAAAATATCAAAAAGACCACGGTTTCGATATCTTGAGTCGATAATCCAAAAAAATAGAGAGATTAAGCAAGATTTCGTATATAGAATTAGAGCTACATGTGTGAAGTAGCGATATGCAACTAGATTTTTATGTGATCGCTTCATACCAATGAAGCTAAAGGGCATGTTCTATAGGATAGATGTGAGACCAGCTCTGCTCTTTGGGGACGAAATGTTGGGTTGTTAAAAGATAATATATTTATATAATGAATGTAGCAGAGATGATGATGTTGATATGGATGAGTAGCAAGACAAGAATGGGTGGAATTCAAAATGAATCCATTCAGAGATGTTGGGTTGTTTTTCGGTAACGCATTACATTTCTCTCTCACTTTTTTCGATGCTCAATTTTTTTCCTCGTCTTCAATCCACAAAATTATTATTTTTCCAATATATGCATTTTAAAAAAGATATATTGATTGTTAGATTTAAAATTAAGAGGTTAAGGACGTGTTATTGTTTAGACATAATGTCCCAAACAAAATTTTTCGAATATTATGAGATACTTTCATCTATTAGATTTTACATCTAATGGCTATAAGTGATTATGACATCCTTGTACTAAAAACAAATGGTCTTACAGTATACAATCAAAGTATAAAGCTAATGCCCTAAACAATTAAAGTAAGATACACCTTAAAATAGTGTCAAAAGTTGTAATTTTAATGTTGATAATCTTTATAATAGCCTGAAAATTTATTTTTATCTCTAATTATAAAAGTTAAAGCTTCAAAAATAAGTGTAGATCAAGTGAAAATTTATTTTTATCTCTATGAACAGTTTGAGAATCTTGAAAATTGACGGTCTAAATAATGCATTATTATCGAGACTTAAATTCCTCTTTTTTATTGTCCATGTATCTAAGGTGGAGATGATTGGATTTGAGAGTTTTTCAAAACAACTTTTTATGGTTGATTTTTGAGGTGCATCTTTGTTCGATTATTTAGGGCCTCAACCTTCTATAAACTTTTTTTCTTTAAATATTCCTTTCTCCAATAAAATAAATGTCCAACTACGTAAGAGCAGGTCTCTTATTCATTTTTCTCAAGCAAAATTTTATATAAGCTTGCAGTCTTAAAATGTAGAATTAAGGTATACCTCAAAAATCTATTGGAAAAAGGTTGTTTTGATGTTGAAAAAACCTCTAAGTGATCATTTTAACGTCTAGATGTATGAATATGTCCAAAACAAGACAATACCAAAATATATTTTAAAAATAATATATTATTTAGCTTTAGATTAATATAAGAACAAACTAACATTTAATCTTGAAAAGAAAATTTATTTTAAAGCCCATTAGAAGAATGGATCCACACCAGGAAATCTCACTGTGGTTGTAAGCGTTACAAAAGCTTCGATCTCCTACCAAATTCTAATAAGAGGACCAGAAGTAAGAGAAGGGAATAACCACGTATGAGGGGAACCTTACAAATAATCTGCTACCTTATGAAAATAGTATATCTTGTAATGTTTAGGAAATAGTATATCTTTTAATGCATTATCTGATCCGTCAATTTTTAATATTTTCAAGTATTTATAGATCTACTCGATCAACATTATTTTTTGAAGCTTTAAATTTTATAATTGGATATGAAAATATATTTTTAGACCATCACAAAGATTTTGCTTTTAAAAAATCACCTTTTGATACTATTTAGAGGTACGCATGACTTCGATTGTTTAGGGCCTCAACCTTATAGAAACCACAACCTTCTTTTAATGTCAATATGTGTCAACTTTATTCTGTTTTTTAAGATGCATTGAGGCTGAATGATATCAAAATACAAAACTCAAAATCTACTTACAAGTAGATCATGACCATTTGCACCTAGTTTAGCTAAATTATCTTTTTCAACATTATTTTCTATAGGGTGGAGCTTATATAAGGAGCTCACTTTAAACAATCAAAATAAGGAAAACTTCGAAATCATGTTGGAAGATGTTGTTCCAATGTTGGAAATTCTTACAACGTCCTAAAAATATGTTTCTAATTGAAATT